TTCTTGTAGGGCCTGCCCTGCTGCCCCCTGATCATGAGGTCGGACTCCTCTGCAAGTCGTACGGGCTGTCCACATCCCTCTTGAAGTGCAGCGCCCAGAACTGGATGCAGTACTCCAGCTGCGGCCTGTCCAATGCCGCATAGAAGGGGAGGATCACCTCCCTGGACCTGCTCAAGATGCATTTGTGGATGCATGACAAGGTGCGGTTGGCCTTCCTGACCGCGTCCCCACACTGCCGGCCCATGTTCATCTTGGCATCAATGACGACTCCAAGATCCTTTTCTGCCTCTGCCCTGACGAGAAGGGAGTCCCCCAGCCTGTAGGTATGGTGCTGGTTCTTCCTCCCCAGGTGCAGTACCTTGCACCATCAAAAGGTGCAATTCAACAGATGAGCATGGAGCAGTGGGGGGCTGGAAGGAACTGCTGTATTTGTGCGTGTAGCAAAAGCAGCCAAATCCTCCAGCATCCGTTCCTTTAGTCCCATTCTTCCCCCACCCGTCTGCTGTCCCAGAGATCACAGCTTGCTCTGCGATTCTTTCAGGAACTTCACCCAGATCTATCACCCAGATCATGGCAACTGCTACATCTTTAACTGGGGCATGGACCAGGAAGCCCTCATTTCTTCCAACCCTGGAGCAGAATTTGGTAAGAAATAAACCTCCGGCTAAGAACGAAGGGGCAAAGGATGGGAAGCATCCCCCTGGCAGACAGAGGTTAATGAGTGGTATTACTTTGTGGGGCTATGAAGCTGCTTTAGGAGAGGGCAGGGGATGCACAGGTGAGGAAGAGGAGTGGGGGACAGAACTAGCCTGAAGAGGAAAAGGAAGGAAAGCACATTTAGGCTGAAGACCTGTGAAAACGCCCTCAGGCATTTCCTTTCTGCATGCTGGCCCTAGCATGAACACTGGGTGACCTCAGAGCTAGGTCTTTCTCCTCTGCAGGGCTGGACTTTCCCCAGGGAACAAGCTGAGAAGAGGGTCCTCAGTTCTCCAACAATCCCCCCGGGTTCCAGCATCAGGTTGGCCCCACGTGCTCTGGTTTTTAACGCTGTGTTTGGTGCCTGCAGGGCTGAAGCTCATTCTGGACATCAGTCAGCACGACTATATTCCCTACCTGACATCTGCGGCCGGGGCCAGGCTGATGCTGCATGAACAGAAGAGCTTCCCGTTCCTTAAAGACCAGGGCATCTATGCAATGTCTGGGACAGAAACCTCCATCGGCGTGTTAGTGGTATGTGCGGCATTCCAGCAGCGCAAGTCGTCTGGGAGCAACGCTATCTGATGGGCCTGCAGCCAGACTTGTTTTCAGTCTTGGCTGAACTGGCTCAATCCACAACTGTCAAGTTACACACTAGCTGTGGGTCGGGACGTTGTTTATGGAAGACTTTTATGCAACTAAATGCTTTACCGAAGCCCAGGGATGCAGCTCACATTGCCTCTCCCCTGCTCCCATCAGGGGGCCACTGCTGTAGGGGTCTGGATGTGACCCCAGAGCCCAGGGGACTGGTTGCTGTCAGGGCAAGGAGCTCCTTCCTGATCCCTCCTGCTCCCGCTGATGTTACCCACCCACACCCAACCACCCTTCTCAGTACTGTCCTCAGCCTTAGCGAGACCAGGGTGGCAGGTGGTGCCTCTCTTTCTGAGCTGGGCAGCCTCCCCTTTCTATGTGGCTATCACCAAGCACCACTGGGGCTCAGTCTGGGATGCCAGAGTGGGAGGACCCGGGACCCTGCCAAGGGCGATCCCTGGGGAGAGGCTCTGAAGACACTTCAGTGCAATAAACACTAACACCCCCTAAGCACAGAGCAGTTACAGATATGTCTCCCATAAACACCTGTCCCATAAGTTTTCCCAGAGCTTTGTTCTGCAAATACCTGCGATCACGGAGGCCTCTGCAGGATAGTAAAGAACGTGGGAAGTGCGGGATGCATGTGTCTGGAGTGACCTGGCACCGGGCATGCAGCAAGCAAGGCGGTTTTGGTCTTCTTTCAGGATGAACTCGAGCGGATGGGTTACCCCTACAGCGACTGCACTCTGAATGGGACCGATGTCCCCATAAAAAATCTGTACAAGGGATTCAACACCTCCTACTCCATACAGGTAAGAGGTATTTTGAACCAGGACAAGGTTTCAAAACATTCTTCCCCTAAACCCTTTATGTTTTTAACCTTTGCGCATGGTTGCTAGACAACAAGAAAGTTAAATGCAACATGTCAGCATCGCTAAAACAGCAGAACAAGCAGCACAAATTAGAGCCCCTGTCCTGTCACTGCTTCTGCATTTCAATAACTCGCTGTGTGTGAATTGTCTCATTGAGTCCAGTGGGAATGTCAGGGCATGGTGCCATGATCAGAAGTGGAGCACTCTGGCTATTAATTCAGTTTAATTAAGCCACCAGCAGAGAGTATCGTCAGGTATGATGCTAAGTTTCTCATTTTCCCCCCAAATACAGCTGAGCAGAGTGAGAGCTGGGTGGAAGTGGTTCCTTTCACTTTATCCAGTTGGATTTTGGGGGCTTTCCTGTAGCTTTCTGGAAAGCTGCAGTCTAGCAAGTTTCCCAGCATTCCTTACCATTGCACAAAGCAAGGGGAGTGTGCAAGCAAAGCAAAGCAATTTGGTTCGCAAAGAAAAAATGGCAAAGCTTTTTTTTTTTTTTTTT